GTATAATATATATATATATATATATATATATATATATATATATATATATATATATATACACCTTGCTATGTGTACTGCATTAGGCTAACCGAGACTTGTCTTTGGCACTTATATATTGCTACTCTTTTGTTAGTTTTGACTGCTTTTATTGTCCTCATTTGTAAGTCGCTTTGGATAAAAGTGTCTGCTAAATGGTTAAATGTAAATGTAAATGGTGGCAAAATTTTGAAAGCTTGACTTGATTGGACTATAACATAGCAAAGAGAATAGTCGATGATCTACTATATAAAATAAATAAAAAATACCAAATATACAATTGTTTTGTGGAAGTTGCATTAAAATTCACTACTACATTGCAAAGTAAATATTAAACAGATCTGATCCAGATTTAGACATCAAGAGCCATTATTACACTGGTACATGACCACAATTCTTATTATGATATAAAATTTCAAGTTATGAGTTTGAGTATCGACAGAATCTGTAAATTATGTATGAACTGTCCTTGGACCTTAGATAAACAGACCCTGCTTTTAAGAGCAAACATAAATATAACTCGCAGGTTACATGAGATCGAACATCCCGACATTACCTCTAAACTGGTCAATATCGCTTCTTGAATTATGACTCTAAAATTCGAGGACTTGTACATGACACATGGCTTGGTTCTCAGGTTTTACTTTATTTGGCTAGAATGCATGCAGATACTGTATTAACCAACACAAAAGACAGCAAATGACCACATTTTTTAGAACCAAGGAAATATAAACTTTCACATATAAAACATTGACTGATAAAGGACCTCACTAATCAGACTGGTTTTTAAATAATCTATATTATGTAACAGTAAACTGATGAGTGGTTGTTCACTGAGGTCATAAATATATTTCTACAAATACTGCTGAAAAAGCTAAACAGTTCTGAAGTAAAAATTCCACTCATTTGCTTCATAGAGAAATTGATTTTTAACAATACCATATGAAAGTGTTTACATTTTAATGTAAATAACTGCACTACCCATAATCCAGAATAAACCCTCCACCAATCAGAAAAGGCTTTAACAACATAGATGTGCAATTAAAAGGTCAGCATACCAAGCTACTCTCACAAAGCATCATGAATGTTGTTGAGTCTCCCGACACATGCTTAAATAATTGTATCTAAATATTTTACAAAGAAATAATCAGGCTTCACGGAAGAGATTAAATCGCCAAGATTTACTTTCGGTGTACTACGAGAATCCGACGGACCAAACAATTATTTCAGTTTTACTCTCATTGAAATTAAGAAAATTTAAAAACAACCAGTCTTTCACATCAGACAGGCAAGACATAAGTGCTTCCAGACCATTTGAACTCTGTTTTAAGGGCAGATAGATTTGAGTGTCATCTGCATAGCAATGGAAAGACAGACCATGTTTCCTAAAAATAGAACCCAATGGGAGCATGTACAATGAAAAAAGAATAGGCGCCAAAATGGATCCCTGGGGAACACCACATGACAAAGAAACTACCTCAGAAAGCGTTCACCAATGTTAACTCTAAAACTTCGATTAGAGAAATAAGATTTAAACCATTCAAGAGCACTTCCTTTTATGCCTACACAGTGCTCCAAGCGAGCAAGCAGGATAGCGTGGTCCACAGTGTCAAAAGCAGCGCTCAAGTCTAGGAGCACAAGCACAGCATGATCCCCAGCATCACCAGTTAACAGAATATCATTTAAAACCTTCAGAAGTGCAGTCTCAGTCGAGTGGTGTTTTCTAAAACCTGATTGAAAGACCTCAAAGATCTTATTTTCATCTAAACAAATTTGTAGCTGTTGCAGGACTACTTTTTCTAAGATCTTTGTAATAAAAGACAGATTTGAAATGGGTCTATAATTGGCTAAAACAGAAGGATCTAGGTTCGGCCTCTTAAGCAAGGGATAGACTGTAGCATGTTTTAACACATCTGGCACAGTACTAGTCTCAAAACATCTATGTATCATGGTCACAAGATAGGGACCCACTGCATCAAAAACTTGTTTCAGGAAATATGGTGGAATAGAATCAATTGAGGAGCCAGACGGCTTTAACTGATACACTATTTCTTGAAGATGTATAAGAGAAATAGGTTCAAACTGGCTGAACTCAACAGAACAAGCAGAAGAAACAGAAGGATCAAAAGCAGGTGGAGATATCCCCAACCTGATATCACTGATCTTATTAAAAAAATCTAAGAAAGTCATCACACATAGTTTTTGACACATCTGGGTACTCACAAACAGTTGGATTTACAACAGCGTTAAAAATAGTAAAAAGAGTTTTAGGTCTGTGGTAATTCTTGTCAATAATTGCCGTGAAATACCTGGATTTCGCTGCTCTGACTGCCTTCTGAAATTTGAATAATGAATCTCTTAAAATTTCAAAAGAAATTTGGAGCCAATCCTTTTTCCACTTACGCTCCGCTCTCCTACAGATCTGCCTCAGAGAGCGTATGTTGTCATCAATCCAGGGCTCAGATCTAGGTTTAAGTTTTGAGGATTTTACAGGAGCAACTGAATCTAAGACATCCACACATGTGGAGTTAAGCCTGAACAGGGACTCCTCTGCACTCAAGTCACATTGACTGAAATCTACTGATTTAATAGCGCCACAAAAAGCGAATGAAAAGGCTTTGCTAGTAGCAGAGGTGATTAATCTAGATTGACGAGTAAGTTTAGTTCTAATACTTTATGAGTATTAGAAACCCAGGGAACAGAGAACATGACAGATTTATGGTCAGAAAACCCATTGTCAAATACCTCAAGATCGTACGGAGAAAAGCCATATGTCAGCACATGATCAAGTGTATGTCCCAACTGGTGAGTGGGGACATTCACATGTTAATCTAGATCTAATGCATTTAGCAAAGTAATAAATTCTTTGGCTAATGGGTCCCCTGTGCAGCATACATGAACATTAAAATCACCAAGAATCAACAGTTTGTCATATTTCGGTGTAAATTCCCCCAAGAAGTCTGCAAACTCATTTAAAAAGTTTGTGTTGTGTTTTGGGGGCGGTATATCAGAGCAACCAAAAGTGGGAAGTTCAGATCCAGTGTAAATAGCTGCAGCTCAAATCTCCGATAGTCATTTATCACAGTTGACCGGCAAGAAAGTTTGTCTTTAACATCAGTCAGGTGATATTCATCTGCAGAGCAATGCCCAGAAGCAGCATCATCAGTACTCTCTAATCATCTGTAATATGGGTGACATGAAAACCACTCAGCTCGGCTCCCTTTCTACATTCGGTGAGGTGGGGATTGATGTCTGTCTCGTCTGCGCTCTTCCTGGAGGTGTAGGTGGATTTCCAGCGGAGGAGAATGATCCTCTTGAAGTATTTGACAGTGTTGTTCTTTACACTGACGAAGCAGAATGTGTTGATCATGCTGTTGCTCATGGCAATGCACTCGATAATGTAGAACGCCACCAGAGAGTTCCTCTCGCGGGAGATGAGTGTAGGGTGGAAATCGCGCAGGATGGTGTAGCCATAGTACGGAGCCCAGCAGAGGATGTACGTCATGAGAATGCCGATTAGCACCATGACCGTCTTCCTGCGGCAGCGCAGGCGTTTGCGGATCTGCTCTGTTTGGTAACCCGGCACGCTCTTGAACCAGAGCTCTCTGGAGATGCGCAGGTAGCACAGGGCCATGGTGAGGACAGGCACCACGAACTCCACGGCGAAGATGAACAGGTAGTAAGAGCGGTAGTACAGCTGCTGGTCCACCGTCCAGATCTGGGCGCAGAAAGTCTTGCTGCGGTTTGCTCCGTGGGGGACTCTGGTCGTGGAGGCGAAGTACGCGGAGGGAATGGAAATGAGCACCGGGACGATCCACACCCCCGTTATGAGGCAGTATGCGGTCTGGTGCTTCATTCTGGGCCTCAAGGGATGAACAATGGCCATGTACCTAAACACAACAACAATGATTAGTGGGATTACGCTCAATTTCCATTCTCTACAAGACAAATTGCATAAAAACCTGCATTTTAAAACACTGGTTTAGTGCTGCACCATGCACATTCTCATTCAGTCATAGACACTGTCATAATATGCGAGTTTAGATAATTATAGGTGTCAGTGTTATATGCCTAGTAGTGGTGGTGGACAGTAATGGAGTATTTTTTACTTTTTACCAGGGCTCTGAACCGGTTCAAGGAACGAAAACGAAAACCGGAAACAAACAAAATTTTGACAGGAACAGAACCAGAAACAGAAACTAAATAAAATTGTATAGTTCCCACGCTCTTGAACCAGAGCTCTCTGGAGATGCGCAGGTAGCACAGGGCCATGGTGAGGACAGGCACCACGAACTCCACGGCGAAGATGAACAGGTAGTAAGAGCGGTAGTACAGCTGCTGGTCCACCGTCCAGATCTGGGCGCAGAAAGTCTTGCTGCGGTTTGCTCCGTGGGGGACTCTGGTCGTGGAGGCGAAGTACGCGGAGGGAATGGAAATGAGCACCGGGACGATCCACACCCCCGTTATGAGGCAGTATGCGGTCTGGTGCTTCATTCTGGGCCTCAAGGGATGAACAATGGCCATGTACCTAAACACAACAACAATGATTAGTGGGATTACGCTCAATTTCCATTCTCTACAAGACAAATTGCATAAAAACCTGCATTTTAAAACACTGGTTTAGTGCTGCACCATGCACATTCTCATTCAGTCATAGACACTGTCATAATATGCGAGTTTAGATAATTATAGGTGTCAGTGTTATATGCCTAGTAGTGGTGGTGGACAGTAATGGAGTATTTTTTACTTTTTACCAGGGCTCTGAACCGGTTCAAGGAACGAAAACGAAAACCGGAAACAAACAAAATTTTGACAGGAACAGAACCAGAAACAGAAATTAAATCAAATTTTATAGTTCCGAACAGAATCGAAAATTTGAAATGGCCATTAACCGGTTAATAACTATATTTTATCGTTCCATTTAATATTTGAAATGTGCTGTCAACTAATCAGGAATTCAAGTAGTACGGCCTATGCAAATGTGAAACTGACGCATCCAGCCAGTGAAATGCCCGCTCAGCTGTGAACTCATCATAGGTAAGTCGCAATGGCAATGCATTAGAGTTTATCTGAGGATAATTAACCGGTATTTTTTCTAGGAAAACCGATTTCGGAATGATAATAATACAGAGGAACGCAGGAACAGAAACGTTAAAATATCGATTCTGCTCGGAGTGAACCAATTGGATTTTTTGTTGTTGTTGTTGTTGTTTTTAAGCCCTGCTTTTTACTAGTATTTTTTTTTACTCCATTACATTTCATAACAACATTTCTATCATGACAACTCTATATTACAATGTTAATGTATTGTTAATGTTATAATAGATCTGCCACGCTGCTAAATTCGATATCGTTGTTGTTGTAGATTTTTGCTGATGCTGCAAAGAAAGTACAGGAACTTGTTACTGCCAATGCATATGCCGATATGGTGCTATGAGTATTTAAGACATACTGCTGCTGCACAAATAACATATACTGTTACGAATTCGGTTCATGGACTTCCGTTTATTCACCACCAGATGTCACACTTTCCATTACATTGACTCTCGCACTACACAAACTGTTGCATAGCACCCCGGACTACATTTCCCATCATTCTTTGCACAATTTGCACACTGCCCTGATTGCACTCATTGCACACAGCTGTTTCTAATTACCTCATTCACTATATAACACCCACTCTAACCACCTTTCTCTGCTGAGTATTGTTTAGCCTGTACCCCTTTCCGAGTCTCCGTGTTTTCCTTGTTTTGCCTTGCCTTGCCTGTTTTTGCGGTTTTTGATCTTTGCCTGTTTTCCTGTTTTTTTCCCTCTCGTCTCGCCCCTGTGATTCTGTCTGCCGATCGGTGACCTACGCTAACCCTAGGACTATTCTTGTGTTTTGCCCGCCATATACCTGTTTGCCATTGTTTGACCCTGCCTGTTTACCACATCTCTCTATTAAAAGCTTGCAGATGGATCCACACGTCTCACGTCTTGTCAGCCCCGTTACATATACATTATAATAACCCTTAGCAGATCGATACAGGTGGAGCTGGGGAGGTGGAGGGCTTCAGAGGAACCAAGTCGGTGCCAAGTCATTTAACACTGTGAATATCATTATTTGCATTAACGACCCATCAGCCTGCACCATCTGGAGTTTCATAACAGAACTTGGCATGTTGTTCCCAGTTATTTTGAACTTAAAAAATCACCACCCCCTCTAAAGACGCAAGAGTGATGTCTGATTCATGAGCTGATTCTTTCCAAAAAACCTGTTGGATTGGTCCTCAAATCACACTGAACGATTCAATTGCAAACAAGACTGATCTGATTGCAGCTGTTCTTGAGCCAACTGATCTGGTCAGTATGAGCCAAGAACTCGGGTAATGCTGGAGCTTGAATGTGGCATGAAAAGTAAGTCACTGATGCCCAATTTTAGTATTGATTATGGTAAATAAACATCATATTTTGATCCCTTGGTTTATTGAGCTGAAGAAATCACCATGCAAGAGTACATTTACATTTAATAATTTAGCAGACGCTTTTATCCAAAGCGACTTACAAATTAGGACAATAGAAGCAACAGGGGTGTGAAGTAACGAATTACAAATACTCACGTTACAGTAATTAAGTAGTTTTTATCAGTAATTGTACTTTTTTGTGTAGTTTAAAAAATGTGTACTTTTACTTGAGTACTTTTTAAGTGATGTATCGGTACTTTTTCTCCGCTATTTTCCTCCGTTTGTGGTCGTTACATGCTTATTTTAATTTAATTTTTATCTATCAACGTGATTGGATAGAGAGTAATAGGTCTCATGACTTTCGGGGCTCAGCAAAGAGACATGCGTGTGGGTGTGGGTTGGCAGTCAAAATTAAAACTGCTGGATGAAATATATTCTTCATTCTTTATGACAAATAAGATAATGTGAATTACAGAATGTACAACGTTTTTAAAATGTATCAATTGCAGTGTACAGCGTTTATTATGAGGGGGAAGAATCCACAGCTCAGTACTCACTACTCAATACTCATGAGTACTTTTAAATAGGCTACTCTTTTACTCTTACTCAAGTAGTTTTTTGGACAAGTACTTTTACTCTACTCACTCTACATTTTTTGGAAGGTAATGTACTTTTACTTGAGTATATTTTTTTCAGTACTCTTTCCACCACTGAGAAGCAATCAGACCAACGAGAGAGCAAGAGAATACAAGTGCTGTGACAAGTCTCAGTTAGTGTAGCACAGTACACATACGTTTTTATTTATAATTTTTTTATTTTGAATAGAATAGGATAGGTAAGTGCAAAGAGTGATGTCTGATTCATGAACTGATCAGATTGCAGCTTTTCTTGAGTCAATTCACTGATTCAATGATCTGGTCAAAATAGCCATGAAACGGGATATTGCTGGAGCTTGAATGTGTGTCTGACTGATGGCGTGAAATGTAAGTTACTAATGGAGAATTTTAGTATTTATTATTGTAAATAAAAATCTGATTTAGGTCATGACTGTCAGTTGTTTGTGAAGTAAATGTAAAATGTTAATTATTAGGTAAAACAGCACAAATTAATGCCCTTGCATCTTCCCTGTTGCCATAGCAGTGTCAAATGATATCAAACTAGTATGTTTGCAAAGAGTTCTTCTTAAAACACTAAAGCATTTTCCCCATAGTATCGTTATAGCCGCATTTATTCAGATTTTTGTTTTCCCTCATTTTTAAAAAAAATACTATATTTTACTTGTTTGCACACTTAAATTATCAGTAACTTAAATTAATATTTTGTACACTAAAGTTGAATGTTTTAGTATATAATAAGTTTTTGCAATGAAGTGAAAAGTTTGCTTATTTGCAGATCTACACACTAATAGACACTAAATTACTAGTCTGTTGGCTAGAATAACTAATACACATGGTTCATCGATTTACTATTAATACTTAAGCACATTAAAATCCAGTACTTTTGTACCTTTACTCAAGTAAAATGGAAAACAAGTATGTTTAATGGAGAAACATTTTATTATGGTGTCTGTACTTTTACTCAGTTCATGTTAAATGGTAATGTTGTTCCCCACCCATGGATATACATTACTGGATGGAGATGCCAGGATGCCAGTAAAATATGCCAACTTCAGGTATATATTTGAACATTATTGCCACCTATGCACTGCACACTGACAGTGTTTTTGAGTCTTGTGTGAAAGCTAAAGTTTCCTAATACTTCAACACGTTTCTTCTGCTGAAATGCAAATCTGGTTCAGTGTGTTCCATTTGTCTTATTTAAAGGGGTCATAGGATGCTACATGCACATTTACAAGTTGTTTGAACTGTGTGTTGGCAGTGTGTGTACACAACCACCCTATAATGATAAAAATCCACCCAGTGTTTTTTTTTAAATCTGGTTAAATGTTTTCCCCTTTCTCAAATCGAGCCGATCTCAGATGCCTGTCTGTGTGACGTCACACAGACAGGCCCCTCCCACAATAGTTTGATTGACAGTGACGTTTCAGCACAGACTGTACTGGTGTCTTACCTTAGACCCGCCCTGAGTGCGCTGTCATCAGTCCGCCATTGTTTCACCGCCGGAGCAGATGTAGACAAGAATGACTCTTAAGCGACTGAGGGGTTTTGTTGTTGGATGTAATAATGAACATAGCAGTCGTCATTTACTCCCGACATCTGAGCCGCTGAAGACGCAGTGGATTACATTGTTTCTGAAGGGAATGCGGCCCCCGATCTACATAAATGCGTCTATGTACGCGCAAATCATTCATGATCCAGCCTCATCTACAGAAGAAGTGAGTATAATGTTTTTTAATGAATCTTTGCAAATCGCCTTTCCTAATAATGTGCTAATTAGCAAGTTTCACGATGAATGCGGCTAAAGTAAACAGTCTCTCTGAGAGCAGCTCGGAAGAGAGGGGCGGGTTCAGCAGAGCTCATTAACATTTAAAGGAAAATGCTACAAAAACTGCTTGATCTGAAAAGCGCTGTTTTTGACAGGGTCTTTTACACTACAATTGAGAAATTTTAACCAAGCTATGTTACAGACTTTTCAATAAGACCCTAAAGAATCAAATCAACTTGTGGAAAATGGCCATCCTATGACCCCTTTAAGGATTTCTATCAGTAGATCAGAAGCTTCACATGTAAGCCATCCATAATTTAATTTTACTTGATTATGGACTGTCAATTAGAGTCAAGTCAAATGGCGAGGCAGATTTAATTATAAGTGGTCCTCACATGGCCATTATCAGAATTAAAAAAAGACTGTGAATAATGTTCAAACAAACTGGGTCCTGTCAAATTGGAACTGTGTAAAATGACTTATTAATATGAAATGCCACGGGAGACTTCAAAAGCTTCAAAAAATAAAATAATTCTCACGTCTAACTGCTGTAGAATTAGTACAGGATCCGTAATGTACTCTTTATTCTCTTGTTTTAGCAAAATTATAGCTCTCAGGTACAGGAAAAAAATGTATCATTAATATTGTCAATATTTCCACATATTTTATTCCATTTCCAGCTCTTTGAGCAGGCTTATGTAAAGAGCACATAATTGTTGTTTCCTCTGGCCATATTTTATAGGGAAAGGATAAAGAAAGCCCACACAGAAGCAGCATTTTAAACAGTTTCTTGAGTGCCCGAAGGATTCACTCACATTATTAAAGAAATATTCCAAGCAGTCCTTCATTTGTCTCCACATTCTGACATGGTTAGGGAGATTTTGTTGAATAAAACATAGTTAAGACACAAAACTCTGAATGGATGAGATGTGTTTGAAACTAACGAACACACGGCTGTGACCGCACATTTGATCTTAATAGAAAAGTTTGGTCACACTTTCTATGAAGCCTGTATTTATAATGTTTTATAAATGCATTCTCAAAACATTATAATAGATGCAAACACTTGTCTTCATGAATAATCATAACAACAGTTTTAGTAGTACATTATGAAGGATCTAATTATGTGTGGTTATCACATTTAAGAGTATGATGATTTTCAACCATCTAAGCCATTGATAAAAGTATTATAAGTCTCATATCTTGACATTAAGATCTGTACAGATTCTTACTACATCTTATGAGTGGTTAGGAGTGTTTCTTCATACCTGTGAACTGAAGGTAATGTGAGTTTCACTGTAAGCTCACTGGTAACCTTTTTACATACAAAACAATGAAATATTGTTTTGTGGATATTAAAACTAGAAATGTTGATAGTAAATGTCTCATATCCCATTAGTAATATCTCATGGCTGTTTTAAAGAAGACTTAACTCACGTCACATTAATCAAAGCAAGGACCACTAATACATATTACGACTGTCACGAATCCTGTCCATGCACTTCTGTTCGCTCACCACTAGAGATCACCCACTCACTACTATGGACTCTTGCACCACACTAACTGTTGCACTTCACCCCGGACTACAGTTCCCATCATCCATTGAACTGATTACACATACACAGCTGAAGGCACTGATTACACAAAGCTAAATCCAATCAGACATGCTACATAAGCCATGTACTTCCTCTTTCTCACTACTGAGTATTGTAAGCGCATATCGCTACCCTAGTTGATAGCTACTTTACAGAGCCAATTCCCATTCCTAGTTTGAGTTCTAGTTGTCTAGTCTAGTCTCGTCTAATTTCCTGTTTGCCTGTTTCCTGATTTTCGCTTGTCCTGGATTATCCCTCTCGTCTCGCCCTGTTTGAATACTGTTTGCCCCTCGCCTGGACCATAGCCTGTGTTTCGTATTAACCCTTTGGAATACCCTGTTTGGACATTGTTCGCTGGAGATCGACCACGACCGCTCACTGGACTATTGTGACTTGCCCTCAATATACCTGTTTGCCATTATCTGACCCTTGCTTGTTTTGACTTTTTTGTAGGATAAAAGCTTTGCATATGGATCCGCACGCCTCTCGTCTCGTCGGCTCCGTAACAACGACCACATTATAAAGCCTGCTTACAAGAAGATTTGTAACAGTTTATAAGATGCTGTGCAGATCTGCCCATCTAATGCATTACAAATACAGGCTTCAAAGAAACTGTTATGCAAAGTTCATCTAAAAACTACACTTTCATCAGTTTACTCACTTTCATGATGTTCCAAACCTGTTATTATTATTCTTTTTTAATCTGACTTTATGCCTGGAATAGTGCGTTTTAATGAATGCAGATACGAATGAGATTTCAAAGTTTGGCAGAAGGGAAAACTTTGGTTTCCTCACGACACAAAACTATTGCATGGCATCAGAAGACTGGGAATACAGCATCTCGTATAGACCCAAAGCTTTTTGTGCTATTTTTGAGTTGCTGTTCTTATGAAGTATTGCATCATGGAAAAGAGCTGTATAATACTTCTTAAAAAATCTCCTTTTTTGAGCCATACTCACAAGAAAAAGGGAAAAAACGTGTGAGTAAACCATGAGAGAAATGATATTTTAGGGCTGTTCCATTGTTTGACAATTGCAAACTGCTAGGCTTATGATTTATTTTCTATTGTTTATTATGAATATTACGAACATTCAATTCATGGGCAACAGCTCTGGTGGACATTCCTGCAGTCAGCATGCCAATTGCACGCTCCCTCAAAACTTGCAACATCTGTGGCATTGTGCTGTGTGATAAAACTGCACATTTTAGAGTGGCCTTTTATTGTGGCCATCCTAACGCACACCTGTGCAATAATCATGCTGTCTAATCAGCATCTTGATATGCCACACTTGTGAGGTGGATGGATTATCTCGGCAAAGGAGAAGTGCTCACTAACACAGATTTGTGAACAATATTCGAGAGAAATAGGCCTTTTGTGTACATAGAAAAAGTCTTAGATCTTTGAGTTCAGCTCATGACAAATGGGGGCAAAAACAGTGTTGTGTTTATAATTTTGTTCAGTGTAATAACTCACAGCCTCTCAAGGCTTATTGCTTTAATTTACTGCTTTAAGGTTGAAGCTCTATTGCCTTTATATTTGTTCTCAAGTACAGCTCTGTATTTTTAGTTTCTCTTGTTTTCATTTGATTTGTTGCCACACAAGGATGATGCACAGCAGATGATTAAATCCTACTGAATAACTAGAAAGCTGGAAATATTTTCTCACAATCATCTGTCTGAGCAGTATGGGAAGTGCTTTGTTCAGGAAGCACGCTGCATAATGCATGAATCTGAAAGCCAATGATAGTTTGCCCGCTGAATAAGCCACAGCTGAACCCTTTTCCTTCCCACTGTCTAGCCTAGCGGGACTGAAGAATGACATCTAAATCACACCAACCTGTCAACGGCGATGGCCAGTAAGGCATTGGTGGACACATAGAGAGACACAGTCCTGAGGTAGTTGACGGAGGCACACATCACTTTCCCATGCTCCCAGGAGAGCTGCTTGACCACATAATAATCCACCAAGAAAGGACAGCAGACCACAGCCACTATGAAGTCGGAGATGGCCAGGTTGGCGATCAGCAGGTTGGTGAGGTTCCTGAGTTTCTTGTATCGGGCCAGAGTGGCTATGAAGAGGAAGTTGCCGAAGCCGCACACCAGAATGATGCAGACGAGCACGGCTCCGATGACGATGGTGGCCACGAAGTAGGCCAGGCCCTGCGTGGTGTCCGGCATCTCCTCTGCAGGAACGCCATAGTCCATGTCGTAGAAGTCTGTGTATGTGTTGTGAACGTCCAGAACGGGCACCTGGCCATGAGGGTACACGGCCGCCAAGTGAGTGATGTTTGCGTCCTCCATGGAAGAGGATCGAGAGGAGCCGGTGAGCTCTGATGGGTTTCTGCTGTTGTAAGTCGCCCAATCTTTTTCTAGCAGTCAGGGGTCATGATCCAGGAATGTTCTTGTCTTTTGAAATGGTTTCAGATTTCATTTCCAGTAGGAGACAAGCCACACATGAAACACAAAACATAAACACTGACATTACTGCAGGATAATTGTGTTTAAATAATTCATGAAATATTGTGTTTAAAGAGCAGTTCACTCAAAAATGAAACCTGTGTCACTGAAAAGGAGTCTTATTCCAGAGTAAATCTCTTCACAGAAGCATTTGAATGAACTCATCAAGTCACTGACTCACTGTAGCACTTAGTTAATAACTATGATTTCTGTTTTTCACATTAAGCTACCGTGGCTTCAGAAGACTTAAAATATAGCTTTTATAAAACTTCAAAGGTGCTTTTAGTTTCTTGAAAGTATCATTTCCCTTTCACTATAAATGCATGGAAAAGAGCAACCATGTATTATTCAGTTTCATCTTTTGTGTTGGAAGAAAGAAAGTCATACAGAGTTTTGGAATGACATGAAGGTGAGTGAATATTCATAGATTGTTCTTTTGGCAGTGAACAGTTAAACAAATCTTCAAAAAAAGTAAAACTATGTAAGTATACAAATAAATAAAATAAAACAAGGCAACAAAGCAGTAATAAAATGATGCATCTTTGCAAAGCAAAAGCATTCGGAGTGTAAAATTTGCCATTTTGAAAAATGATCTCTTTTCAAACAATTTAAGGTCGTACAATTAAAAGAGTATGATGCTTATTTCAAACCAGAAATAAATGTCATTTTAAAGTATTAAACATTTTGCCACCCTGGCACCACCACAACATGTAATATCCTATCAACATTTTCCTTTTACCTATACGAAACATGCATAAACAATACATAATAATAAAGGATATTCATACTGCCTCATGATGCATAATGTAAAGCTTTACATATGTAATCACCGTTATAATTTCATATCATAAATGATAAATAGTATGATGCATTGTAACACATGATTTATGAAGCTGGATGTCAATCATTATTTTATCATGATGCACCATTTGCTTTAATGGTACATTCAGAAGAGGTATTATAATGTACTTACTGTAACTGTTCTTACAACTGTTGTTTTCTTCAAATTAAAAATCAATGCTTCTGTCTGCTGGCCTTTCACTTAATTACATTAGAGGAGTTAATGCTGCAAACTGTTCATTTAGTGGAATAGCACTAATGGACATCAATAATTACAGACATTTTAAATAGGAAACCGTTTGAGCTGTAACAGTTAAAACTAAACATTTTACACATTTTGCGCTGTCACCGCACGTTGGATATCCATATGACCCTGTGAAGTGTCCTGAATAGACTTACCGACTTGCAGGAGCTGAGAGCTGCATGTCATTGTCGCTGGTGTGAGATGCTTCATCAGTCTCATCTGTGTAATTCACATGAAGATGCGCGCATCTCGCCAGTCCTTCACACACATCAGCGTCTCCTCTCTCCCTCTTGTGGCAAATGTGAAAGTCTGATCAATGCCGGCTTCAGTCCTCCAGTGCGATTCCTCCCACCTGTTCGCTGTGTCTTCTACAATACATCAGATGCAGGCAGTCCTCCAATTAAAAGCTCAGTTTGGTTAATTTGGCAGTTTTTTTAATGTATTAAGAAATTTTTTGTGTGGGGTTTCTGCGAACGTTATACACACAGCAAATTTCTGGAGTTGAAAAATCAGGAGTTAGGCAAAAAGTTAGGTTACAGTTTGTGTTATGGGATACTCCCTGGCTGTGTTTTATTTTGGAGTTCATTAATTGGTGTTCAGGAGCGACAATGAAGTTTGGTTTTACAAATACACCATACTTGAATGCCAACTGAATGTTTCAGAAAACGCTCAAGAAAAAATTCAAAACATAAAAAACAATTATTTTATATTATATATGATTTATTATAATATATTTATATATTTTTACAACTAAAACCTCGTAGAGTTGATTACATATGATAAACTAATGCTACAGTAAATGAGTTTGAAATAAACATGGCATTTAATATACATCCATCCATATACAGTATATATATATATATATATATATATATGATACATATTACATTACATAATGTTTAATTTACGTGTATGTGTTATATATATATATATCATATTAATGTATTCAAAGGTATATTAAAAGTATTATGAAAAAATGCCTCTTTATTGATTTTATTATAAGCATTACTGTATGTTTTTATATTACAATATATAATGAAACATTACAAATTATATAATATATTACACAATAAAATTGTGATATAGTTTCTAACATGCAAAGAATAGAAAAATTATTTTTAAATTAAATAAATTAAAAATATATATTATTTGATGTACAAAAGATAAGAAGACTCACGTCGTCAAAACATGTTGTAAATCTAGCAAAGTTTTTTACATTTTCATTTTTTTATTGTAAATTTATACCACTTTGTGTTTTCCTGCCTTGGCATTAAATTACAGTGTTTTTAATACAATGGCTCACACAGCAAATTTCTGGAGTTGAAAAATCAGGAGTTAGGCAAAAAAGAGTGAAAGAGTTAGATTTCTGGAGTTTATTTTTTAACTCTGACTACAGCATGTGTTATGGGATACTCCCTGGCTGTGTTTTATTTTGGAGTTCATTAATTGGTGTTCAGGAGCGTGTTTTAACACCACATCTGGAGTTAAATGTTGAGAAGTGCGCCACAACACCAGCCTGGTTCTGCAGCACAAAGGACTTGTACTTCATCGTGTGGTAGGTAAAAGCGTATTTATATATATAAAAAAACTTTCAAAATGTTCGATATTTTCTGACAGAAACACGTTTTGTCATAGCTTTAGATTTATTCACTATTAATATGGTTTCTTAGGTCTATAGGTCTACATGTTATACACTATTATAATGACATATAATATGGCTTTTAAAGACTGCTTAATTTCTAAATCTCAAAGGTGGAAGTCAGGACTAATAGACTTGGCCTGGAAAAAAAGACTATGATAGCTTGGCATTATACAGTGCAAAGGATATCTGGCCTTCTAGATGTAAAGTGGGCTATAACAATGGGCCTCCTGGGTAGTTGTCATTATTATTTGTAGGGTCCTGTGTTTGTGAATTGCTCTTGTGTACTCACTCTTTTTTAATTGTATTTTATATATACATATACACATATACATACATACATACAGGTGGTGTTCTGAAATGAGGAGGCAAAGTCCTTTTTTTTTTTTTTTTTTAATTAAA